CGCATGCTCCGCCGCTTTGCTTCCTCTCCCTGGTCTGCTGGAGACCAGGGAGAGGGCCCCGTTCGTAACTGCGGATCCGACATAAGTCGGATCCGCGTAACTCGGGGACTGCCTGTATATTTAATGTTTGACTGTTTTATCGCTAATATATACCTCAAGTCATTAAAACCACACTTTCACAGAAAACTACTGCAATAATGGAAGGCATTTGGAGATGAACCTAGTTGTCATGTGGAACATATTCTGAATTAATACTGTCACAACCATCATATTCCTGTCACAAATACCAACTCAGGGCAACTGAATGGAGTCTCTTAGTCTATAGATCTTCTATCTATTCCACCTTTGGAAAGTGAACACAAAGCCATTTTTGGACTCTTCTGAGTAGTAATAAAGTTTTGAAACTGAAAACATAACATTCCTTACTACATAGTGTAGTTTGGTTCTTAATTTCAATTTCCATAAGTAAAAAATACCCAGGTGCCTACTCAAATACCCGAAGAAGTTTTAATTTCAATGGGTGCTGGATCAAGTCCTTAATTTTTAAAACAGATTTTACAAGAAGTTTTAACTTCAATGGGTGGTAGATCAAGTCCTTAATTTTTAAAACAGATTTTACTTTATACTACATCTCTTTTTTCATGTTTAAATCAGAACTTGTCTTGGTAAATCTCTACCACCTAGGTTACATTGCTGGATTTATAGACTCCAAAGTGAGCAATAGACCGGATCTATATGATGTGTATGTGAATTTGGCAGACAGTGAAATTACCATTTCCCAGCAAGCGAAAGGTTGGTTGTCACACTTGTTTTTGTTTTCTTGGGGGGTGGGGGGAGGCAGGGAAGGGGAAGGTATTTGTTTGCAGATTTACAAAGCAGAGAGCCAGGTTCATTACCATCTTGGTCCTGTTTCTAGGTTAGGTGAGAGAGAGTAATTATTTTAGAGCTCTCTCACCTGGGAGCCTGGAAGTTCTTTGGTAAATCTGGGCCATAATGTCATCATGTACAAATGCCTAAGTAATTAAATTAGAGAAGGGTGGTCTGTCTATAATACAAAAGTCTTAATTAAAAACATGTGACTGAGACAGTTCACATTTTCATAAAGTTACATTCTAAATCATGGATGGGTTGTGGATCCAGCCTAAGACTAAGTCTTTATAAATATCTCTTCTCATTTTCATCCCCACTGAACTTTGGGTTGTGTATCACCTCTCAATGATCAAGAGGAAATGCTGCTTGCTGAAGACAGTGCATAGAGGATAAAATCTTTAGAGCAGGAGGAAATCTTAATTTGGTTTTATTGATAATACACAAATTAATTCCTTCATGGGTGAACAACAACAGAGACAGATCATGAGGTCTACTTATAATTCGGCTTGCCATCAGTTTACCAGTTGACAGTTTGTCTCTTAAATACGTGCACATTTCGCTACTAAAAATTCATAACAATCCTTTAAAATATTTATAAGCTCTTATTTTTAAAGGATAAAGAAGAAAGCCTGATCTTGGTTAATCTTGATTTATCTTCACTTTATAGTTAGTTGTATAAAAACTTAAGCATACTTTGTGGACTAGTAGTATACTTATTATCTGTAACACTGTTGTAGGATCTAAAATATTTTGTTGTCTAATTGTACCTCTGCATATTAATTTTATCCCAGCAAGAGCAATAAAGGTGATGTGATGGGAATACATGAAAATACGACAAAGTTCATTTTTTGGAAAAGTTCTTATAGGCAGTCCTATTCTTCTTCTTCTTCCTACATAAATATTTTCAGGAAGTTCCAATAAAGAGAGCATATAAGTAAAAGTAAGAGGTGCCATTGTTACATGTCCTGCTACTACTGTTCTTGGATGAAGGGTGCAAAATACTATCTTTTAGATGGGTTAGATGATCAGAATGAATTCATTATACATTTTCTCTATCCCAAGATGCAATGACTATGGGAAAATTGCATAAAGAAATTGGTCAACTCATTGTTCAGTCTGCAGAAGATCCAGATAAATCAGATAGTCAGGTCATTAAGGTTAGTCCTTTTATGTTTACATTTCTTCTTTCATTAACATTTTATTTAAAAAAGAAAGAACAAAATGGAATGTCAGGTCCCGCTTCTCTGAAAGTCCTTTTATCTTTTGCAATTTTTAGTTTATAAATATTATACATTACAATCCTTAAAATAGTTCTGCTATGATCATTGGGTTATGATAGCATACAAATAAAGTAACTAAAACAGTGTGTTGGCACTTCATGTTGCTGAAGAAATTTCAGACATTCCTTTGAAATACATGTAACTGGCATTAAAATAAAATGTTTACAGTGGTGTAAGGTTTTATTATCAGTTATTTGTTTCACTTATAGTATAACTTGTTGACAAAATTCATAGCTAACAGTTTAATCCCTGAAATATGCTTTTTCAGTTTTAAGATTGGGCTACAATATATTGTGTCTTTACCCTTGTTCCTACAGCAGTAGCGTCTGTTAGCAATTGCACAATTGCATTGTGGTAATCATTTTGAAATATAGATTATAGACCAGGGGTGGGAAATAATTTTTGAAGAGGGGGCTACTTCACACATTTTAAAAGTGGCTGTGGGCCTACTGGAAAGGGTGGGGCCTCAGGTGGAAGGGGCGGGGCTGAGAGCTACCCTACCGGGAGCTTTGCTTGGCCTGGGGTCCCTCCCTCCAACTTCTGACTAATGGAAGGGACCTGGAGCAGATGGGAAGGTGCTGGGAGCTATCCTCCTCCCAGAGTTGTCTGGGATAGAAGATTAGAATTCACATAACACAGCTCGCAGCTCCTGGCCTCCGCTGCTAACTTGTTGCTTGGCAGCTACAAGCCCTTTGAACAGAAGCAGCTGAAAGGGCTCGTGCCTCCCAGGCAACAGGCCAGTGGGGCCCAGAGCTTTGAGCCCTTTCAATTACTTCTGTTTAAAGGGTTTGCTCCTGCCAGGTGGCTGTCAGGCAATGCAGCCACCCAGGAGGCATGAGCCTTTTAAATAGAAGCAGTTGAAAGGGCTCGCGCTTCCCCAGCTCCCTAGCAATGCACTAAAGGCGCTGGGAGCTGTGAGCCCTTTTAACTGTTTCTGTTTAAAGGGTTCTCGTGTTCCCCACGGCTGCCAAGCAACACATTGCCTGACAGGCGCGGGGGAAGGCATGAGCCCTTTAAATAGAAGTAGTTAAAAGGGCTCACATGTCTCTGGTTCCCAGGCAATGTGCTAGGGGGTGAGACCTGGAACTGCTTCGTGGGCCGGATCAAAGCTCTAAGCGGGCCAGATCCAGCCCACAGAGAGGCTTTTGCCCACCCGTTATAGACCTTGTGAAATGCAGAGTACTCCCAGCTACTCTAGAATTAAAGGTTCAGCCTCTCACATGATCAGATCTGAGGAAAGAATCTTCCAAATTTATCATAATTGACAGATTGATGCATTCTGACACGTTATTTCCACTGCATAGTTTTTGTATTAGTGTCTTATTTAACATTAATACCTCTGTATAATTTTCCTAGTGCTGTATTCATGCTTGAATATTTATCTATTCTTATTTGAAGGATATTTCACTGAAGACAAAAGAAATCTTGACTAATCTGGCATCATTTACTGAAGTGTCTGATGATGGTGAGAAACCAACACTTAACTTTGAAGCTCTAAAACAAAAGCGATATCCACCAGCTACAGAAAACTTTCTTTATCATCTAGCAGCTGCTGAACAAATGCTTAAGATCTGACTTCGTTGATAAACTTCAGTGTTGTGGACCAATATGAAATTATTCCCTTTACTATAAAATTAGGACTATCTACTACTTATATAAAAAAATAAAAGTAGCAAAGAAAATGTTACATTTTCAATGATGTAATGCAAAATACAGACATTTCACATGTAACATGCAGCTAGCTGCACATTTGGAAGTATTTCTAGTCTTTTTACTTTTCCTTGACTCTGACTTTATATACACAAGGACAGATACTCAAAAACATGTGAGTTGGGCACCTGACTCTTGTTTGTGCCTTTGACATCTTCCCCCTTACTCTTGGAGTACTATAACATTTTAAAACTGGACATACTAGTATAAACAAATTGAAATCAGACACATCGACAATAATATTGAAAACTGGATATGGTTAGAGCAGTAAAAATGTACCTATTTGTTTTGTTGCATAGCCATAAAGTGACAGTTTTTCAATAAGCAGTCTGAAACTAACTTTGCTTTGTAATCTTCTGGGAAGAACTTAAATTCCTTGTAAGGAAACCTACTTTCTGAGCCAAACATCCAATGTTTCTGCAGAAATGTCCATGAAATCAGTCAAAAGATTCTGCAGTAGCACTTTTATTTAAAAAAATGGATCTCTTTTTCCTGGCCTTTGCACAGATGGTGATAGCATGTGGTTTTACATAGAGATTTTATACTTATGATCAACAATTTAGTAATCCATATTTATACTATTAAAAATTGAATGTTTGGTATCCTGAAGCTGTTAGAACTCATAATTATGTACAAGCAATATTAATTTGAGAATGTTTTGTGTTTATGTATTGTAAACTAAGGAAAACTATTTTAGAATATGGATGAGGAATTAGGTATCTATATATAAAATAGCTACTTACTACAGTTAGTCTGAGAGAATTACTGCTATAATCCCCTATTTTCAGGGGTGTATAATCCTACTTCGAAAATTTACTTGACAGAAGCTTTGCAGTTAGTCTAGACTCAGAAGCATTTTTTAAATGAATAATACCTGAATTATGTTTTCTTATCAGCACTCTTAACTTTTTTCCATTTGTATAACTTAACGGGTATTTTTAATGGTCCAGATAAGTTTAAAGGTCATACAAAAAGAAATGCAATCAGGGCCTGATCCTTAAATCCATTGAACTTAGTCTTTCCATTGAGTTCAACATGCTTTTGATAAGGTCTTGAACATCTCGAGAGATTTTGTCTGTGGGTTTCTCAAAAAGAAAAATGCAAGCTTTATTACAGCAACATGAAATAATATGCATAGTTTAGAATAACTCACAAAAAAGCAGAGTTCTCATTTGCCAACTAAATATTTGATATTATTTTATGTTCTTAAGAGACTCTGTAGTTGCACATTTCCTTATTGTTTGTCTTGGACTTTTCATTCTAATGTTTTTATATGAAAACAAATGAAACTTAATTTTGCACTTCAGGAATGTATACCCATAGTAATGTTATGCCTATAAAAATTATGATCTTATTTTTTCCTGAACCCCCTGCTTTGTGTATTTCATGTAAATTGTGCATGGATGGTCATGGTCATCATAAGTCAAAGGCTTCCATTCTTAAATTATAATAAAAAATAGAAATATTTAGTAACATAGTAACTTAACATATTATATTTCAACCACAGTGTCTAATTTAAAAAAGAAATTGTGTTGTGTGTGGTGTTTGTTTGTTTGTTTTTTACATTGTACCCTAAGGTGATATAAGCAAACTCTTGTAGTAGGTGGGAGACAGAATTTAAATGGAAGGTGTGCAAAATTAGGTGAAAGTCCCCTCCAGGCCCCAGGGGATACACTTATTCTGGGAGGAGAAAATTGGGCCATTGAACTTATGTAACAGTTAATGGCATACAGTACTACCTTTATTCCATAGTTCAAAAAACAGAACTGATGTAGGTTGTTTTGCTAACTTTCAAAGAGACAGATTGTAATGTCCTCATTAAAATTTAACTTACTTTTTCTGTCTCCAGAAATCAGTGAACTATGTTCCTCTATGGACACACCCTATGGCTGTGTCTAGACTGCATCCCTTTTTCGTAAAAGGGATGCAAATTAGACATATCGCAATTGCAAATGAAGCGGGGATTTAAATCTCCCCTGCTTCATTAGCATAAAAATGGCTGCCGCTTTTTTTCAGCACCGAGCTTTGCTGGAAAAAAGCACCAGTCTACACACGGATCTTTTGGAAAATAAAGCCTTTTCTGAAAGATCCCTTATCCCTCTTAAAATTTTAAGGGATCTTAAAATCTTAGCTTGAGATATGAGTTAATTGCATATACAAAAAACTGCATTAAGAACATTAAGGGGTGCAAAGTCAAGCACTTCTAAGTTAGGAAATGTCAGAATTAAGGTCACCTGTACAACATTAATTCAGTCCCTCTAGTTTGTATGATACTGTCTTTACAAGACATGCTTGCTGCCCCCTCCCCGGGTCCTTTTTATTCAATGCACAGTATTTAAGTAACAGCTGTTGAATATTTTATTTTCTCCTTGTTGTTCAGTGTGTGACCTCCTTGCCTTACTGCACCCTATCCAAACCCTGCTCAAAGAATTAATTTCCTCATAGGCTTTTCTGTGGTACCAAATATTGTAATATTTGAGTGTTTCACATATGTATTTATTTTTACAACACACATCTGAGGTGAGGGGGTATTATCCCACTTTAAAGACTGGGAGCTAAAGGAAGATTAAGGTCAAAATATTCACTAAATTTGGATGCCTAATTAGAGATGCTTGGCTTGGGTTTTCAGAGTACTTGGGTTAAATAGCACTTTATAGATTCAAAATGCTCTTTGTCTTCAGTTGCAGCTGGGAGTGCTGGGCCCTTGTATAAATCAGAACCCAGGATATCAAGTTGGACACCCAGAAAATGTGCAATGCAGAATTAGTGAATACCTGAGACAAGTTTGAGAGTAACATGATTAGCATCATATAGGAACTCCGGCAGAGGCTGGGATCTCCAGGGTAGAAGCATTCAACAGCCTTAACCATGAAACTGTTCTTTTGTCTTCCTGTAATCTCCTGCCTTATCTACTTACATACCTTTCATCCTAGTGTCCTACGCTATCCCCAGAGCAGGTTCAGCGTATGCAGTTGATGAAGCACAGAAAAAATAAGTTTCTGATCATGTATGTGAGCATCTCATGAGGTATGTGCCCAAGGGGACACAATTCACTTTGCACATGCCAACCTTGTACTGGCATTTTCTCATTTAGGAGTGTTTGACTTGACATCTTTAAATGTTTGCTTTTTCTAAAAGCCTATAAAATTGTACACACGATCTAAAACAATTTCTATACTATGACATATTGACATCCACATGGTTCATTAGGGTTGCAACCTTTAGATTCATTGCACAGTTCTCTGTCATTTGAGCTAACAAAGTAAAGGATCCTGCCTCTGGACCAGCACTAGAGGGGGAATGGGACTCTACTGCTAAAGGATTTCACAGGAGTTTTCTGACAGCAAAAGAACGAGACTCAGAAATCTTGGATTCCAATCCAGATACCAGAGGGAAGTGTGTCCTAGTGGACCCAGATGCTTCTGCCCATTTACTCTCAAGCACAACCCCTTCTGCCCCATCCCTTCCCACCTGTGCTGTAATCGGTGCTGTCTTCCCCCCCCCACCAGCAACTTCTGACAGTCTCATCTATCCATTCCCAGTCTCCACTGCTTAGGCTTCTTATCACAAGCTGCTGGATTCTGAGCCCTTCCCCCCCATATCAGTTTCAATGCTCAAATCCCTCTCATTGTGGCTTCTAGTCATACCTGCTCCCCTGGACTCTCAATTTCCCCATCTAGTCTCAATGTGTGTCTCTGTCCCATACCTTGTTACAGTCCTTTATTGTGCCCAGTCCCAATTTTTCCACCTACATCTCAGATCTGTCACCCTTCCCATCATCTTCCATCACCTCATTGGTTCTCATTATCTCCTTGCCTCTCTGGCTGCTCATCTAATCTCAATCTCCTCCACTCACCAACTGGCTCTGAGTTTCCCACACCACATCTATTCATAATTAATTAGCTATGAATCTCTTAGACTTGTTGCTCAGTTTATCAGTCACTCTTCCCAGTTAATTTAATCCCAATCTCTCCACCCAACTCCTAGTCTCAATTTACCATCCTTCTACCAATCTCCAGTTCTACTCCCCACCCCCAAACACACACACAAAAGCAAGTCTGTCTCTTCCCAGCCAATGGGCTCTGTGTTGGCAGTGCTTACACATGAAGGGACTGCTTGGACGTGCTGCCCCCTGCTTCCCCCACCTCCCATGGGCCAGGAACAGAGAACCACAGTCACTGGGAGTTGCAGGGGGTGGTGCCTGCAGACAGTCAACATCAGCAAAATGTCTCACAGCCTACAATCAGATTACCCCAATGGTCCACATGTAGCCCATGGACTTCCCACCACTGGTCTAGACTAGTGTTTCTCAACCTTTTTTTGCTCATGGCCCCCTTCTGAGCCTCATCCATCATACGTTTGGCAGTTAAGTTTGGGTGCCCCCCCTCAAAAACTTACTGTGGCCCCCTAATGTTCTGTTTTTTTCCACGTGGCCCTCCTGGGGAGCCATATGGCCCACGTTGAGAACCACTGGTCTGGTTTTTTTCCACGTGGCCCCCCTGGGGAACCATATGGCCCACGTAGAGAACCACTGGTCTGGATGATCAAAGTGGTCCCATCCAGCCTTGGAATTTATGAATCTGGGTTTGTTTCAATCTTGTCCATTATAGCACTTCTGCTTTGCTTTCTAAATTGTCCACACTAGCCTTTACTGTGGCTATTAACCATTGTAAAAAAAAAAGGGTATACTCTTAACAACAACAGGTGTTACATAGGTGCGTCAAGAACACATCTAAGGCCCTTCTGTGAAAAAAAAAAGGGTATACTCTGTTAACAACAACAGGTGTTACATAGGTTCCTCAAGAACACATCTAAGGCCCTTCTGTGTTTACCTTCAGTATATTGCTAGTAAAGGAATAATGATGAAACAACCCTTTTATAAACAGTCACATCAGTGAACCATCACCTGAATCCATGCAGTACTTTTTTTGCAGCCACTGCTGTGACAGAAGAGCTTTATTTTTCTCCCTATTACTAGCTGAGTTTTTACAGTATATTTCTTTGGAAAACTGTGTATTACCACAGCCAGAATACATCTGTAGGAGCAGCAAAAGCCCTAATGTAACTAAATATAAACAGGCAAGAGGAAATATAGAATTGATTATGGAAAATGCAGCAATATTAAGTGGTGGTCGGGATACTGTAATGAGATTAAACAGACATTCCTTTACCTTCCTAGTTTACAGTTTTGCTAACATGCCACAAATTCTGAAAAAATATCTGTTTTCCTACCAGCTGCTTTTGTGCCTTCCTCTGTTCTGGGCCTCTGCTTTCCTTTAAGGAGGAATTGTAAGGACTTCATGATGGTTACACAGGAAGCGAAAATGAGAACCTTCCCATTTAAAATGGCAGGGATTTGCCGTACGCCTCTTTCAGGTGCAGTGGCACAGACAGGGCCGAAGGTGCTTATGTGAGAGAGGTATTTTCTTCAGACTAGATCTGTCAAATCCATTATTAAATAATTGATAAGCTGTAGGCATTATCACCTGAAGCCTGGGTAGCCTCACACCTTGTACAGCTGCTTCAGTAATGGAGTTAGAGGGCCCCTTGCTAACCATGATTCTGCTGTGTTCCATTTCCCATACAGCTCCATAACTACCTCGCAGCTGGATACTCTTATTTGGTGGTGTGCTGTAACTACTTGCCTTACACACCATGAAAGATCGGTATGTTTTTCCTCATCATTCTCGGTTACGTGGAGGAACAGCGAATAAGAAATAACAAACAAGGTTAGGGATTAACCCATACCTCCCCCACACGTGTTCAGCATACTTCCCCGTCTCCTTATAGAAACTCCTGCATATTGGAGGAGCTACTTGCTCTGGCACCCTTTTCTCCTTAGTGTAGATACACCTGCCTACGTTGTTTGAAGCAATAATAATGCAAGAAATAGGCCTTAATTCTCTTCTCTGCAGAAGTTTTCACAGGCAAGCTAATTTAGATAAATACAGCCAGTCTGTAGAAAGAAGAATTTATTTCTAACCCTTCTTAACATAAGATCAGAAAGCCACGGTTGCTGTCTTCTTCAGGTTTGACACAAAGCCCACTGAAGTCAAGGAAAAAGACTTCCTTTGATTTGAGGGGCCTTTGAATCAGGCCTCAAAACTTTCATCTGAAGAGTGAAGAGAAGTTCATGAGGTTCATTCTGTAGTTTGTTTCTGGACACTCTCTCTCTGAACATCTTCCCAATTATGTCGAAGCAAAGTTGTGTTACCATCAGGGTTGCGCTGTTTTAAAGTCATTTCATTAACCAGTAAATCCAACCTCACTTCCACAAGTCACTAATTTTTTTATCCCTTGATCAAGTCTATTGACTTCTATTTTTAGAAAGGGGATGGGAGAGACATAATCTTGCTGTTATTCTACATCCTGGGCTCAAAGTCAGCTCCCCAGATGGAAATATTAATACAACTTTGCTACTTGAGTCACTAAGTGTGAAGAAGCATTAAAAGCTTTGTATGAAAGGAGAACACCTCCCTTCCTTAGCTGAATTTTATCCTTTTACCAGTCATCTTCCCTGTGTAGCATCTCAAAAGAATGAACAATGGGAAAATAAAGCTTTTTCTTATAATTAATGTGCAGTTATAGGTTTTAATAAGTAGGAAATCTACCACATTGTTATGGGAGGAAGTACAGAATCATGGATGTTTCTGATGGGTATAGTAATACAATATTTTTCTCTTTCTGGAGTTAATCACATCTAAAGTATAGACATTATTAAGTTGCGTTCACACACTGGATTGTATGGGGGAATCCTGCAGTTGGCTTAGATTAGTCTGCCCATTTAAAAACATACTGTTCCAAGCCCAGTTCAAAGTCCTACCCTCACATCACCTATGACTTCATTATTCAAAATGCACTATACACATTACTTTCGGTTTGAAGTTTTGTATGGACCTAGAAATTCAGTGTGAACAAAAGCACACTTATAATAAGTTAAAGCCATTCCCTAAAACCCCCTGTTGTAAAAAAGCTCAGTTTCTTCTGTAGATGACAAAATCTCTGTTTCAAGATCATCTCGATTTATCTGAAACAAACAAGAGGATTAAATTTAGGACACCAGTGACATAACAGATGCCAAGTCAAAACTATATCTACACCAAACTTTACATAACTTAAAACATGTAATAAAACTGAATTAAAAACAAGACTGACAGGTGTGGGTTTTGGCTGCTGGGTTGTTGTGGGTTTTTTTAAATTATCTTCCCGCAAATGTAAAGAAATGCTTTATCTATCTTACAGCGTAATTTCTAACTCTGAGTATGAGGCAGTTGTCATTTGATATAATTTGGGTGGCTTTTATACTATAACTAGTAACTTCCACTACATGGTGAATAAATCATAAAGTGGAAAAAAAAGAACAAGCCACTTATATTTTCCATCATATGGCTTCAGAAATTCCATCAATCTAACTCTACCTTTGCTACTGTAAAAGATATAACAGGATACACTAGGCCTTTAACATTAGCAAGGGACTACTCCCGGATCTGTGCTATCCCATGGGATGGTTTTCTGGATGAGTTCTTTGAACATGGGTACTGAGGGACAGAACATGATCTTGGAAGGAATCCCAGACTCCTCTTTCTGTTCAGGGCGTAAGACTGGAGTTCCAGGGTACTTAATTGGAACTCCCATTCACAGACTTATGGAAGTCTAGTTTCCAAGGTTGCTGGGACTAGTTAGGTGTCTAGCAAGGCATTGATGGGAGGAAAGTAAAGGACTGATTTAAACATCTCCCTTTGTGTGGAATGGGAAACTGAGAGTTATACAGAAGAGAATATAATCTATCCTCTGGTTTTCTTGTTTGATATACTGGCTTTCAGTCTGAGGAAAAAAGAACTGTCATGATAAGTACAAGCATTCCAGAGGACCCTTGCTAATTTCAGGACTGAAATTAAAAAGTAAACAACCCTAGGAGGGAAGTTTTGTTGATCACAAAGAACTCTAGGGATAGAGCTACATTGCTTGCTTCAGCCTATTGTGTAGTATTGAAAAGACAAATTTGAATGATGTACATAAAATAACTACTCTCACCACACATTAATTGTACACTGAATCTGGGCCTCACTGAATCTAGCAAGCAACATCACAATTTAAAACCACGGATTCATTTTGAGTACTGTAGTCATTTTAATCCTGCTGATTATCACCACCTCATCTTAAGGTTTTGAGATGAGACATATGGTCGATGTTCCATCTAGCAATCAGTCCTAGAAGGTTATCTAGAAAACAAGAAGACCAGAGTTTGGATAAATCGACTTACCTTTCCCAACTGTGGGAATATGCTAAATGAAACCGGTAGCATCATGCCCAATACTAAAAAAGTCAGAATCATTCTCATTCCAGGCAACGCTTGCGGATTTCTGACTAAGTAGTGTGTGCTGTCAAAAGAGTTAGGAAGATGAATTATTGTTCAAAGCAAACCTGACATGCTTAACTGTTAAACCAGAACAGCTAGTGAAACAAATGACATTAAATACTATTTTTACAGGGGAAAAATTAAAGCTATCGCGCAGTAGTAAGTAAAATAATTTTACATTCCTTGCTGGGTGTTTTCTTTATTATGTAACTTAGGTTCTTGCTCTTCCCTTGCTCCCTACCATGTGCATATAGTTGTCGTTAGCACTATTTTGGCTGTGATCGTGCATTAATGTCCAGCAATGGACAATAGTGGGACTAGGGATGTAACATTATAAACCATTTAAACTGTTAACTAATAAATATGAGCTCGTTGGTAACAATGATGGTTACAGGCCAGCTCCTGGCCCCACTTCTATGGAGCCTGCTGCTCTGTGGGCTCTGTGATATAAGCTTTATACTCCTGGCCCAGCTACCAGGGAGCCAGCTTCCGCCCCGGGCTGTGGGCTCTGATACAGCTTTATACTGCAGCTTATACTGATAAGCTTTATACTGCAAAGCAAGCAGTTACACCGTTACATGCTGCCAAGATTTTCAACAGTTACATGGTTACCTTTTTTAATTGACTTTCTATTATGGATTTAAAACGTCTCAGTCCTTTAATTCAGATTTGTTTTTCTTTGATCATTTTATCTATTTCTGTTCTATTTAGCCAGTCCTTGGAAGCATGATCCTGTCACACTGTACACAATTACTAAACAGCCACTTCCCCCGGCTCCCTTTGTCTGAAAACGGCAAACTGGAGACAATAGGAGCCACGAGGCTCCGTGGCTATGGACCTTTTAGGTAAACAAAGTGGCGAGGGCCTGCTAGCGGCTTTCCCAACACAGGCTGCATCAAAAACACTGATAAGCAGATTAGCACATAGGAACCCCAGCAAAGGATTTTTATTGTGTAAATCAGTGGTCCCCAACCTTTTGGGGCTGCCGGGCGCCTGGGGGCGGGGCCGCTCACTTTTGCGCGTATGGGGGCGGGGCCACTCACAGGCCACGTGACTGGGGGCAGGGCCAAGCATGCGCCGCACGCCCGAGGCCGGCAGCAGCATGTGCAG